GTTATTTTTGCTTTACTTATATTGAGGTACAATCCATACTGAAGGATGTGGTCTTGATCTTCATCATTAAGTATTTTAAGTCCTCTTCGCTTTCAGCAAGCAAGGTTGTATCATCTGCATATTACAGGTTGTTAATTAGCCTTCTTCCCATCTTGCTGCCATGTTCTTCTTCATATAATCCAGCTTCTCAGATTATTATATTTGCTCAGCAACAGATTGAATAAGTATGGTTCAAAGTTAGTTGTCATTTTTTACTTTTTATTTTGTACTTAATATATTTTATAAAAAAATTCTAAATGTTTGTAGTGGAAAGATTTTCCCATTGGACAGACACTGAAGGGTATTTTCTTTGTTGTGCCTATGCCATATGGCTCATAGAATTTAAGCATCTCCAAATAATAATTTTATAACTCAGGTGTTGTTGTTAAGTGCCGTTGAGTTGATTAAGACTCATAGCAACCCTGTATAGGGTTTCCAAGGAGCAGCTGGTGAGCTTGAACCACCGACTTTGCAATTCAAACGACTCTGCAGTCTGATGCATTAGCCCACAGCGCCACACCAGAACTCCATAACTCAGCTAGATACAAAGGCTGCAGAAGGCATTGATTTGCTTTAATAAAATAAGCTATATTGCTTATTAAACATATATATATAGCCATCAATTTGATTTATCCCTTTGTAACTGAAATCTGTTATACCTCACGTAGTTAGTATAACACATTTCAGTTACCAAGGAATATATAAAATTGATGGCAATATATATATGTTTAATAAGCAAAATAGTTTACTTTATAAAAGCAAATCAATGCCTTCTGTAGCCTTTGCATCTAGAAATTATTTACAATTTTTTTTTTAAACGGAGATATAAAAATATAACCCAAAGGTTCTCAAGTGTCTGGTCAATTCAGGTATGCCATAAGCAGCTCTGGTAGCGTAGTAGTTACGAATCAGGCTTCGAATCTTAACGTCAGCAGTCTGAAACTACCAGCCGCTCCGCAGGAGAAAGATAAGGCTTTCTGCTCCCGTAAAGATTTACAGCCTCGGAAACCCTGTATAGGGTCACTATGGGTCAAATCCGACTTGACGGCACTTAAAACAACAACAACAACAACACAGCAAAGGATAAGAGCATGGATTCGTGTTTTAGACCTCCACTGTTCACCACAGTAGCACCTAGACACATATATAACCATTAAAATGAAAAATTCAGTTCCTAAAGCACACTAGTCAAATTTCAAGTGTTCAACAGCCACATGTATTTGGTGACTATACTATGAGACAGTGCTGAGACAGAACATTTCCATCAGTGCAGATGGACAGCACTACTGGACAGCACTGCTCTAAAATGTATAAAGAACATTGACTTTGAAGTCCAACGGACCTACACTGGAATTCTAGACGTCTAAAATCTGTCATGTATTACCTTTGTGACACTTGAGCCAATTTGTTACTTCTCTGAGCTTTATTTTATGTTCCCTATCAGTAAATTAAGAATGAGAAATCAGGTGCTGGGAACATGACTGTTTCTCAGTAACTACAGAATCTACAGCTTCCCCACCTCTCACTGCCTGAAGCATATAACACTTCCAAAGGATTCAAAATTGCAGGAACTATAGAAGCTATAGTTTCCCCAACTCTCACTGTACAGATATATATACCACTTCCAAATGATTCAAATCTGTCACCAAACTTAAGCCCTTAGTTATTGTAATAATGTTTTCTGTAAGATTTTACTTTTTTTTGATGGGGGTGGGGTGAGCAGTGTAAGATTTTTTCTGTAATACTTCACTTTTTTTTGGTATGGTGGGCATTTTATACATATAAAAAAACAACTAGAACTGGAAAAAGTTAGTTTCATTTCTATTACATTAACTTTAAGAACTGATTTAAGTGACAGATGCTGGATCCAAAGGTGTAACTTGAGATAAATGGGCTAGATGTCTGATGGTATTTTCCACAAGAGAACTTCAAAGAACAGCTACAGAATCAGGTATAATTACCTGTATGCACCGTCAGACACTAATTAACTTTTTATTTAAAGAACAAATCCCTAAACAACTCAATAGCTTGCTGAACCAATAGACTATTTTCTATTTTTCAGTCTAGTACACAAAGCACACAATCAAGAGGCCCTAACACGGAGTTCCACTTTATGTTGTCCTGTCACGTCTCCTGGACTAGCTAAATACTCCTTTTCCCCAAGCTCCTCTCCTTTGTTGTTATTGTTGTTACGTGCCATCGAGTCGGTTCCGACCCATAGCGACCCTGTACAGGGTTTCCGAGGATGTAAATCCTTATGGGAGTAGAAAGCCTCATCTTTCTCCCGCACAGCAGCTGGTAGTTTCGAACCGCTGACCTTTAGGTTCGCAGCCCGATTCGTAACCACTACGCTACCAGAGCTCCTCTCCTAGCTGCTTCAAACACACCCACAGTGTTATACTTGACCTTTGCAGGCCCTACTGTGGTATGAAAACAAGCTGGTGTGCTCTCAAATTTCCAATTAATAATATTAGAAACTCTATGGCTTTTAAGAGATGATTCAGTGCCTTAATTAACCAAGGAATGGAATGACCTGGTTAAGTGAGTTTCCAGTTTGAATAAGAAAAACCTTTGTTTCAACCCTCTGTTGAAAATTTTTCTAAATAAAATGCATTAATTTACTTTTATAGCCCCCAAATTCTAATTAGCATCATAAATTCTTCCCATGATTTAAGGTCTGACCTCATCACTATACCAGATTAATCTGTTATACTACAGTGGGGTTTAAAGTTATCCTGCTGCCTCACATTTATACTACATATTTATTAGAGTCTCAAAAAATAAAACCAAACACAGGCTTTTATTTCTCATTTCCTTTCTTCCACACTTAGACTATATGAATAGAACTGTTTTCAGGTAACTGAAGATCTGAATAGTTAAGGTCTCATTAACTGTGGTTCAATTATATTTGTACTGTGTCACACTTTCAACTTCAAGGAACCTTTACTTGTGAAATGAATACAGTCTGGCTCACTTCAAGCTTATGCTAGATGGTGATTACGTATGGGGATCTCTCACAGTTTCCTCTATATGGATCACTTTAACAACTAGATTTTCCCTAGAAGTAAGTGTGGTGTTGTGGGTTAATGCACCAGACTGCAAAGCCATTTGAACCGCAAGGTTGGCAGTTTGAATGAACTGCAAGGTTGGCGGTTCAAGCTCACCAGCTGCTCCTTGGAAACCCTACACAGGGTTACTATGGGTCGGAATCGACTTGATGGCACTTGACAACAACAACAAGTCATAACTAGACTAAGTTTACAAGTAGTGTAAAGTGGAAGTGAGTCAATTTCACGTAAAAACAAACAACAACAGAAAAAGAGAATGTGCATTCTTATGCTGAATTCCCCCTTTAATGGAATATTCAACACAAATCAGTCATCTGAAGTGATTCTGTTATCATTCGCTTAAAGAATCCAACTGAACTTAAAAGTATTAAAAAACACTTCCAATATGTCCATAGAATTTAAAAGCTCAGTTAATTACTTGGGAAATTTTTTGTTGCTGTTGTTTAAGTACTCAATAGTTTCGACTGTACAATAGTACTATACAATAGTACTGTACAGTTTCGACTCAATAGTTACCCTGCACAGGGTTTCCAAGGCTGCAAATCTTTACGGGAGCAGAAAGCCTCATCTTTCTCCCGTGGAACAGCTGGTAGTTTCAAACTGCCGAACTTGAGGTTAGCAGCCCAATTTGTATCCACTATGCTACCAAAGCTCCTTAGAGTTTACTGAAAAGTCTAGAGAAATATTACATTTCACTTAAATATTTCAAAGTGAGGTAAGAAGAGAAACTTAAGGCTCTCGCTTTATAACATATTTTAAGTCAGAGAATCAAAAGAAAGTAACTTTACACAGACGACATCTCCATGCTCCTCCTGCCCAATATTAGTTAATTCCCAGTCAAGTACAATTCAAATGCAGTAACTTTTACTCTTAGGAACCCTGGTGTTACAGTGGGTTACACATTGGGATGCTAACTGCAAAGTCAGCAGTTCAAATCCACCATGGAGAAAAATGAGGCTTTCAGCGCTTGTAAAGATTTACAGTCTCAGAAACCCTATAGGGTTGGAACTGACTTGATTGCACTTAAGAACTTTTACTCTTAAATTAGAAGTGACGTTTCTCCAGCAATTTCTTAGATGGCAGTTAAAGCACAATCATTCTACCACAAACAGTATTAATGCCTGAAGAGACCCTGGAATAGGTGGCAGAGGGTTATAATTCTAATTACTTAATTGAGAAGCTGTCACTCACCACCTTTGAGTCCCAGTAGACCTAATTTCCAGTCCAACCCACACAGGTTAGTGAATCATTGCTATGAAAGTTCATGACAGCGCCTGGCACACCACTGATACCCAGTAGGTACTCAATTTGAAAAAGATACTTATTCTGGGCAAAGATAAGACTATGTTTGTGAAAAGTCAATACCTGTCCCCATCCTGTGTCTTCCAAACTAAGTTCTGGGCATGGACAGTCAACAATTCATCATCACAACAGAAACAAAGAAATGTAATTTATTTTCATTAAAAAAAAAAAAATCAGGAATATAATGCTAGTACTTTGAACTGTATAGTAAACAAAAATTACATAATAGGATTTTATATACAAGAGAACATTTTTAATATTAAAAACCCAGTTTAAAATATTTCATTAAGATACACATAAATAATCATAAACAGAGTATGTAGATTATATTTGTTATAATTTGAAAAGCTAAACACAATGTGGAGTCCTGGTGTGGAGCTGGAGGATAAGCACTAGACCTCAAGGTCGATTTGAGCTGAATGGTGGCAGTTCAAACCCACCATCCACTCCTTGGAAACCCTATATACAAGGTTACTGTAAGTTGGAACCAACTCGGCATTTAACAACAACAAAAACAATGTGCTGACAGAAACTAAAGTCACTCAATTTTAGATGTAAATATATTAAGTGTAAAAAGGCAATTATACTCACAGCTTGCGTTTCTATATAGAAGAAATGGTTCATGAAGCTGAAATTCCAAATCTTTATTGACTGGTTCAACTAGATTGTGCATATTCAGTCGATTCACAATTGTAAAACCATGGTAAGGTGAAGCTGACCTTAGATTTAATAGAATTAAAACAAAAACAAAACAAAGAAGTAATCTGTTGTCACTTGTTTAATGTGCAAAAATGTTTTAGCTACTTTAATTTCCATTAAAAACAGAGTGACTATATTAGTAAATTATACAATATTACAAGCACTTCAAATTTTAATAAAAGACAAGTCAGATTACATCTCTCCTTTGCTCAGAACCCTAAAAGGACATATTATTTCGGAGTAAAGGTCAAAGTCATTAAGGCCATCAAGGCAGTAACTGATTTGCTGTCTCTTCCCTTGGCCTCTCCAGGTATGCTTCTACCTAAAGGTCCCCAACTACAACATTGCCCCTAGAATCTGCAGTTATCTTACCTCCAACAAGCCTTTGTTCAAATGTCATCTCTTCAATGAAACCCACTAACTACTCTATTTAATATAGTAACCTGCTCTCAAGCTCAATTCTTCTTACTTCTCTCCTTTTCTAATCCACTTACTATTTATATTGTTCTATCTCCCTCCACTAGACAGTTCTATACAAATCAGATTTTTGTCTTACTAATTTTATGATGTACGCCAAGATCTTAGAACAGGCATAGAGTAAAGAGCTAGAAAATATTTGCTAAATAAAGTATTACTTATTCTAAATATGGTACAGGACTGGCTATAAAAAAATTGCCATCATTATAATTATTTTCTTGCACCAAATGGACCTTTACATAGCTTTATATATGGAGTTAGATGGATAATCCTTGAATCCTTCAATAATAAAATGTCCTTGGTTTTCCACCCCATGGGGGATTCAGTACACAATCACTTAAAGACACTCATGACATGCATTTTTTCTATGAACTTCATAGGGGACACAGTAAGAACCCCACAGATCAGGAAACAAGCTCAGCATAATTAAGGTTTGTGCCCAAAGTCACACAAATGCTGTAATGGGAATTCAGCTTCAGGTTCCGAGACTCTAAAACTAGGCTTCTTCTATACTAAGTGGTCACTGCAAAGTGATATTCTGAAATCCAGATATCCTTTTATCCAAGGTATGTAAAATGTTCTCACATTTCCCCCAAGAAAGTTTTTTCTTTCCTTTTGACTATGTTAGCTTGCACAATTTTTGTGAAATTCACCCACTGACTACATTGTCTCATATTTTGTACAATCAGTGCACATGCCTTATATTTTAACAATAAGGTCAGAAAAGAACTTTCCAAATATTGTAAATATCCATGTTCTAAAAAAGTTAAGATGTTTCTAGAGATTTTTACTGGAAATGAAGAGTAATGAAGGAGATTAAGTGTAAAGGCCTTTAAAAATCCTTATAAAAGAAGGATGAGAGGAAACGAAGTGTCAAAGAACTCAATGTACCACTAGCAAAGCACTTTTATGAAGGGAGTCCTGGTGTGGCCTGCAGGATAATGCCCTGGACTACAAGGTCAGTTTGGGCTGCAAGGCTAGAGGTTCAAACCCAGTAGTCATTCCTTATAAAACCTATACAGGGTCACTATGAGTCGGAATTGACTTGATGGTATTTGACAACAACCATATATATGAGGGGACTTCAAAAAGTTCATGGAAAAATCCCATTATCTTTCAATTCCATTTCCCCACAAACTTTCTGAAGCTTTCTCATATAAGAAGAGCCCTGGTGGTTACAGGTTTGGCTGCCAACCAAATGGTTAATGGTTTGAACCCACCAGCCATGGCTCATCGGGAGGAAGATGTGACAATGTGCTTCTGCAGAGCTTTACAGTCTTTAATGTATAAATCTAGGGGGCAGTTCTATCTACTCTGTCCTAATGAGGTCACTATAAGTTGGAATTGACTCAATGGCAGTGGGTTTGTTTTTGGTTGACATAAAGAGAAAAAAAATCAGTGTTTGAACAAGATTGCAAAGCTTTACACCAAAATTAAGAATATTTCACAAATTAGTTTTAATTAGTATTAACAGAGAAAGGCAAAAAGACAATTCACATAAGGTACAAAAAAAAAGGGGGGGGAGTTCAATTGTCATTAATAACCCCTGCTGAGTCTCTAAGCTTTAGAAACTGGAGATGGAAATCGCACTTGTGGGAAAAATCTTAGGAGGAATGATTCCACGACTATCATATACTGTTAGTCATTTTTAGGCCAAAAAGGTGCCTAACAAAATCAAGATGCAATCTGAAAACCAATCACATATTAGGATAGTAATTAATGGAGTATTTGAAAATAAAAGGTGCCATTATGAATAATCCAGGCTATCTAAAGAACTCTCAAACTAAAAATATACATTACTAAGGGCATTGTACACAATCCAGAATTTGGGGGTGGCATTGGTAAAGAGGTCAGAACCAGAATCACAGAAAACCAACTGTCATTTAGTAAACCCCCAAACGAGGGACTAATATCTCAACTGCATTATTTTATAGAGCTAGTCTATGTATTTTTCTCAACATTTATTTTTTAAAATACTGGGGTAGAAGGAAGCATCTGTTTTAGATTCATTCATTACTAGAAAATGCTTTCTATTTTGAGATTATTCTGATAGTGTCTTATTAAGTTCTGGTTCTGCAGGCTCAAAAAAAGGAAGTGACTTAGTTGATTAGGATCTCATACCTTGGGCTGTATGAAAACTTGAAAGGAACAAGCAGGAATGTCCCCTACCCCCAAAAGAAGTTGAACCACTTCATATAATGCTCACCATTAGAATTTAAAAAAAATACTTTAAAAAAATAAATAAAAGCTTACCTTCGATACACAAATAAGGTTCCTTCTATATCAGTCTTCTCCTAAAAACAGAAAATGAATCAATTAGTGTTTTTCTAATCATTCAAACCCATATAGTCCTAATGGAGAAAAAAATGCCTCATGTTTAAGATCAATTTATTTTTAAAAATTAATAGTTTGAACAGGTTAAGTCTCTCACTCCAACTGCTATTATCAGTTTCTCACGCAACCTTTCATTGCATAGAAGGACACTCAATATTCAATCTAGCAACACATCTGTATCTGCAACAATTTTCTTTCAGCTAAAATATGTTATTCCAATTTCTAAATTTGAAAGCCAAGGTTTCTGAGCAAATCAACTCTTCACTTTTTAAGTTTATTAAAGCTGATAGGAAAAAAGAAAGTTTTCATGTGTTAAGATATTTTGTTTCATCATTGGAGATTTTGATATTTTTAATTGGTAGCAAATTTTATAATTAGTTAACAATTCTGTCAAATACATTTAGCTGGCTATTTTCAGAACTTTGTTTTAGGAAATATTGAAACTATTAAAACAAAACAAAACAGCTGCCTTCAAGTTGATTCATGAAGACCCACGGTTTTTACCCATAGGTTTACCCATGTAAACACCAGGGGGACTGTGCTTGCTCCTTGTAAGTGTCCTCAATGGCTGTGACTTTTCAGAAGTTGACTACTAAGCCTTTCTTCAGTGATGCCTCAGGAAGGATCCCAAGGCAGAACAATAGTGCTATTACTTAGGGACGCCTAACTGTTAATAAACCCAGGGCAATCAAGTCCATCCTGACTCACTGCTATCCTGAATGGATTTCTGAGACTGCAAATCTTTTCCGGAACAGACAACCTATCTTTCTCGGGCGGAGTAGCTGGTGGGTTAGAACTGCCAGCCTTTGGATTAGCAGTTCAATGACTAACCCCATCACCACCAGGGAGCCTTAATTACAACTATACCTTAATTATTATTATTATGTTAAGTGATGTTGAGTTGATTCGACTCAGCGACCATGTATGGGGTTTCCAAGGAGTGCCTGGTGAGTTTGACCCACTACCTCAAGATTCAAATTGACCTTGCAGTCCAGCACTTATCCTACAGTGCCACACCAGGACTCCATGTCCGACATTCATTACCATCAAAAGCTTACTGAGGTTTTAAACACAGTTGCAATGTTTAAAAGAACAACAAAAACCCAACCCAAATAACCATACGAATTTGCAATTCAGTAAGTCACAATTTGCACTTGACCTTAATATTCTGTGACACTGTATAGGGTTTTCAAGAAGTCACTGAGTTCGAACTGCTGACCTTGTGGTTCAAATTGACCTGGCGGTCCAGCCCTTTAACCCACAGTACCATAAACTTACAAACTTAATTACAATTCACAGTAAAATAACCAAGAGAAATTTTAGTTCTGTTTTATGTGCCGTGATCCAAATACACAATGGCAGCTTATTTTTCAATTCAGGTTATTGTATCTTGCATCTCATATGTAAAAAAGAAATCTACAATTAAAATTTCAAAGTATTAAAAGTCTGTGCTTTCACCATATGTCCACATCCATGCTTGTGCCTAGCCACAAATGTATATGCAGAACAAGAAAAGAAAAACGGTTCAGAAGGATTCAAGCTAAAGCAATGTCTCATATAGATACATGTTTCTAAAAATCTGTTAATTGTGTTTTTTGTGGCTTCTTCCCAAACCTCCTTTTCTTCCACGTGGTGGAGGAAACAAGATAAAGGAAAACAAAATGGTTTGGAAAAGTCTCTTCTTTCAATTATTTATAAATGACAAATTATTTGCACAAAGTTAATGATAAATATAAGGAGTTCTGGTACCGTAGTGGTTATGAATCGGGCTGCGGACCTCAAGGTCAGCAGTGTGAAACTACCAGCTGTTCTGCGGGAGAAAGATGAGGCGTTCTGCTCTCGTAAAGATTTGCAGCCTCGGAAACCCTGTGTAGGGTCACTATGAGTCGGAACCGACTCCACGGTACTTAACAACAACAACAAATGATAAATATAATACGTCCTGGTGTGGCGCCGTACGATAAGCACTCGGCCTCCAGCTCGGTTTGAACCTCAAGGTTGTTGGTTCAAACTCACCGCTCTTCGGAAACCTTATACATGGTCTACTATTAGTTGGAACTGACGTAAAAAACAACAATGTATCTGTACTATATTGCAATGGATACAATAATCAATAATAACTTCTCAGTTTTAAGGGTTTAAAATTTTTTTCTTTTAATTGAAATGTGAATGTCAGGTACAGATGAATTCAACCCAACAAACATTTACAGGCTATTTTCTAGGTGTAAAGTCTGTAACTGACTGAATTCATTAGGAATGCTCAATTACAATAAAACAAAAATTGTGTTATTTCAACAACAAAAGTTCAAGCTGGGGTTAACTAGAGACAACGACCAGATTGAATATCATCTTTAGGATCCCCTGTACCAGAAAAAAGCGTCCAAATGTACTTAATCTGATGGGAGCATTCAGAGGTGACATCACCAGCATTACAGCTGGAACAAGAACACAGTTACACGGTCTTTCCCCAAAGATCTCAAGGGAATTCGGATAACATGGACACCCTGAAATCTTGCCCCAAATTCGGGAAATATTGAACTTCGATTAAAGCCAAACTCAATACTCACTCCACCCCTCCAAGAATGGTATCTAATTTAATTAGATTTAAAACTTTTAAATTTAAATGACCTTTGCGGGGAGGCTCTCATTTGTATGCGTTCCGAGAGGAGTGTTTCTAATACATACTATGTATACGCAACTGGGGAGTTCTGGTGAGGGCAATGTAGGACTGCTAACTTCAACGACGGCGATTCGAACCCACCAGCTGCTCCCTGGAAACCTTACACAGAGTGGCTGTAAGTCGGAAATAACTCTACGGCACTTAACAAAATATGTAACTTCTTTAATAACCCTTAAAGCCTCAAACACAACCTTTCAGGCATCTGTTTGGACCCACTGGTCTCACATGCCCCAACGCATGTGCAAAGAAGACAGATGGCCCACGTCCCCGGAGCTGACCCCAAGCAAGTCGACCCTGCTCTAAACCTCCCTTTCCACGGGCTTTCCCCACAAAGAGGCCTACTTTTCTCGTTCCTCTGCCTCATCTCGAAGGCTCCCGCTGTGCCTCCGGTGCCCGACCCGCTCTCTGCAGGATCACAGCCTCTCCCTTGGAACCCTGACCTCCCTCATCGCCCCTCAGCCCCAGCTGCCCGCGCGGCCCCTTTAAGAGGTGGCGGCGGTCGAACTCGTGTTCTTCATAGTCGGACCACACTCACCCACTGGTTGGCCTTAGGGCAGAAAGTGTACAGAGCGACTTGGCCAGTGAGATCTGCGATGCTGGTGATGTAAGGGTCGTGCTGTTTCAGAGCCGCCAGACTCATCTCCTGCCCAGCTCTACTTAGAGACTCCATCTTGAATCTCAGAGCCGAGCCCCTCCGATGAAGGCGGAGTCACGGGCTAGAAAGTGCGTCGAAGCAAAGTTCCCCCAGTTTTGTTAGCGACTGTGTTTTCCGCTATTGGTCCGGTCTTGCAACATGAGCCCTGGATTCCAGGTTCCGGCGTATCAGGTTCCTTTCGGCCACCAGGCGGAGCTGGAGGGCGGGGATTAGGGCGTATTCTTTTATGTTTGGAACTTCCCACGCGTTTTCTTCGAGCACGTTCCGGGCGGGGCTGGAGACGGACAGCCGGGCCTCGCACACGACCACGGCGGGGCCAAAGAACAAAAAAATCCACCGTGGAAATTCCACGGGTAGGTTGGAGGCCTGGTGTGGCGCTGTACTGCAAAGTCGGTTTGAAACGCATGGTCTACAGTTTAGGCTCACCAGCCGCTCCTCAGAAACCCTATACAAACGCTGTAGGTCGGAACCAACTCCACAGCACTTAACCACAACACCGGGCAGTTCAGAAAGCCCAGAAACAAGAGGAAGGGAGGGAGGATCCTAAAATTACCTCACATCTCATTTACCATTAACAATTTGGTGTTTTCTGAAGAAAAACAAAACTTAGCCAAACCAATCCTCCCCAAGCCGTGGTATTTTCAATTACCTCATATACATGTGAAAGCTGGACAGTGAGTAAGGAAGACCATAGAAGAATTGATGCTTTTGAATTATGGTGTTGGAGGAGAGGAATATTGCAGTAAAGTACCATGGGCTGCCAAAAGAACCAATAGATCGGTTTTGGAGGAAGTGCAGCCAGAATGCCCCTTGGAGGCCAAGATGGCCAAACTTCGTCTCCCATACTTCGGACATATTGCCAGGAGGGACCAGTCACTGGAGAAGGATATCATGTTTAGTAAGGTGGAGGGTCAGAGAAAAAGAGGAAGACCCCCAACATGATTGGCCAAGTGGCAGCATTGATGGACTCAAGTGTGGCAACAGTAGTGAGGTTGGCCCAGGATCGAGCAGTGTTTCGTTCTGCTGTGCATAAGGTCACTATGGGTCTATCGACTCGATGGCACCTAACAACAACAACAACAACCCTCCTGGAACTTAACTGGCTTGTCTTATCCTACCCGCTTTTGTCCCTTATTTTCCTCCTCTTGGTCTCATGTGCATATTTCCACTCAATTTTGGGAAGAGCCCATTAAAGCTTGAGATTGTCATGTATCATTTAAGGGATTCAAAGGATATTTGCTTTTAGTAAACACTAGTTGAAATTTTTATGGCATTTTAAAGAGCAAAGTCGTGTTAGCTAAAGAGTACAACAAGCATCAGAGACTATGGAGGACTTCCTTCACCTCTTCCTCCCCTCTCCTCCAGTTTTCTTAAAAAGCAACCTTTTCTTTATTGAAAAGATACTTTCAACTGAAGAAATGGCGGAATTGGAAAATTTAGAAGGGAAAATATCATTTCATCAATGTAACACTATAAGTATTTGTATTGCTGCTTATGGTTTTATAGCCTGGGACTAATATGGACAGAAGCCTATGCCTTACATTCTTGGTAGGAACATGTACGAAACATGTACAAATGTGGATGAGGAGACATATTACTCACCCTTCATTAAGCAATTATTTGTTGAAGTCCTAAGTTTGAACTAAGGAGCTTTGTTGTTGTAGTGGTGAAAGCATGCTGCTGCTAACTGAAAGGTTGTTGGTTAAAAACCCACTTGCTTCTCGGGAGAAAGATGTTGCATTCCCTAAAGACTAAAGTCTTGGAAACCCCATGGGGACAGTTCTACTCTGTCCTATAAAGTCATTTTGGGTCGGAATCAACTTGAAGGTGTTTTGGTTTTTTAAAATTTGGACTGTAGCTCTTTGGGAGCTCCAAAATCTGATGAGATGACTTTTGGGTCTGGGAGATACTGTGAGAAGCGGGACAATACAAGGAAATTGGACAATGCTAGAGACATTTCATTTGAAACCCAGTGGATGGAGCCTAGTCTGAAAGACTAGGAAGCACGCATCGGGGAGATGATGTTTGAATTGGAGCTCCAAGTATTAACAGAAGTTCATCTGGAAAAACAAGGTAAGGGGGCTCCATTTCATTTCACAGCTGGAGGGGTTAGGGAGGGAATCTGTATTCGTTCTCATTTGGCTATTTAACTGGTGTGTGAAGGGGAGAGATCACTGGCTCAAAATTCCATATTGGTGGTAGTGGTATGTGCCATGGAGTCAGTTCTGGCTCATAGAGGCCGGGAGGTGAAATCTTTAAGGGTCTTTCTCCCGTGGAACAGCTGGTGGTTTCAAACTGCTGACGTTGAGGTAAAGTTCGTAACCACTTTGCTGCCAGAGCTGCTTATTTCCATATTCATCACAGGGAATCTTCTACCCGAGGGTACCTTTCTCCACACGCACTCAGTCTTTCTCTCTCTCGATAACTGGAGGTAAAACTGTCATTCGTGTATTCCTGTCTGTCTATTTTCAGTTGAATCTACCCTAATTAAAAATATATTATAAATATTATAAATGAAGGTGCTTCAAAAAGTCTGTGGAGAAATGGAATTAAAATATAATGGAATTTTTCTACAAACATTTTGAAACCTCTTTGTGTATATTTAAAAATAAATAACACATTCTCCAGCTTAAAAAAAAAACCACATAAGAAAGCACACCTGAAACTGAGTTAAATTTTTTTCTCACTTAGGTTTCCTAAAATAATCTAAAACCTTTATCCTTTTTATTTACAATCTTTGATTGTGCTAGACTAGTAAAGAACACGAAACTATTTTAGGGCGTTTTCATGCTCTGACTAGAAAATTACATCAAGAGACATGTTTGCATGACCCCAAACATATTGATGTTGATTCTCATGCACCTTACTGTTACAGCTCTTACGGCATCTTAATGACAAAGTCAGTATTTTGAAATAGAGTATCACTGACATTTACTAATTCTACTTTGGAGTCCTTGGGTAGCACAAATGAAAGATTAGCAGTTCAAACCCACCCAGCAGGGGCCTCAGAATACAGCCTGGCAGTCTGCTTCCAAAAGATTACAGCCTTAAAAACCCCATGGAGAAGTTTTACCCTGCATACATGGGTGACCATGAGTTCAAACTAACTTGACAGCAACTCACAACCAACAATTCTGTTTACATTTGTCAATCAAACCTTAACACCTTAAGTGTGTCTTCTAGAAAGTAAACCCAGTGAGAATTAATTGTGTCTTTTTTTAGTTTTTAACTTTTTATTGTGAGTTGAATAAAGGTTTAACAGAGTAGATATCAGTTTTACATTCAACAAATCATACACATTGTTGCCGCTCAATGACTGCAGTCCCTTCAATTTAACATGGAGAACATTGAAGATTTTCAGATCAAGGGAAATGTTTGTCTCCTCAGAGTATTGGATTGATGTTGTTGGTGTTGTTAAGTGCCTTGGAGCTGTTTCCACCTCATAGCGACTCCAGTATAGGATTTCCAAGGAGCAACTGGTGAGTTTGAACCACCTACCTAGTGGTCCTCTTTGCTCTTGAACACTTTAAAAAGGTTTTGTGCAGCAGATTTGCTAATACGTCGTTTGATTTATTGACGGCTGCTTCCTTGAGTGTTGATAGTTGATCCAAGAAGAATGAAGTCCTTGACAACTTCAGTCTTTTCTCCATTGATAAGAATGTTGTTTATTGGTCCAGCGGTGA